ATTGAGTGTCGCTAAGTAACTGAAAGGAAATTAAAAGTGAAGAGGATAAAATTAAGAAGCACCAAGGAGCAGGCTACGTCAACGTTTATAAGTTAGTTGCTGTGTGTTTGTTTTTAATCCGGTAAGCAGTCTTCAGTTTCTGGTGGCAACATTGTTGTAATTGAGTGCAACTGTGTTTAAAGGCTTACAGAATGTGTTGTAACCCAGTGGAGAATCGTAGGTGTGTTTTTAGAATTATGTTTTGTATATGTTTTGGCTAACATATCAGATAGTTACACAGAGCTAAACCAATTCAATACAATATTTTATAAGATATTGATCACAACGCTGTCAGTGTTCCAAAAAACTATTTTGGTTTCTATGGACAGGATATATAAGGGATAGAAATGGATTATGGTAAAAACTCGAAAGCTCTGAATAAGCATGCTCAGGGTAATTGCTTCTTCACTCTTCTTATGTTATCGATAATTTTGCAACTTCGAAATTTTCAGACTTCAAATTTTTCGAACTTCGTAGTTTTCGAAAATTAATTCTCTTGATTTTTTTTAAACTAAGAAATACCATTTGGAAAAATTTTTATTCTAAAGCCTCAAAAAAGCTTTAAGCTCAACATTCTCCCCTCATTATATTGAGCGCATAGAGAATAACTGAGCATTTTAATTCAAAATTCTTCGTTGCAGTTGAAGTTCTAGCACACATGGTGCATATAATCCTTGATCCATTTCTCTCGAATGCTTCAAATGCTCTCTCAACTCGGTTCGTCATCGTACATATTTCAGCGCCATATAATGATAAGAGACTTATAGAGCGTAATTTTTGTACGTCGAGAGCGGGATCTGTTTTACAAATGCTTCTTGATCCCAAAGTAGCACCTGTTGGCAAGAGTTATTCTGCGCACGATCTCCAGGCTTAGATTGTCGGTGGAATTTATGCCGGCTATATGCAAAGTCTTTCACTTTCTCAAATTTACAGCTGCCAACAGTAACGTAGTTCCCAGGGCTTCGTCTTGCCCTCGTTCACCACAATACCAACTTATTTCGCTTTTATTTTAAGGCTGGGAAAGGCTACGCTGACCGCTCTGTTTAAGGTCTATGATGTCAGTATCATGCGTACCCCAGTAGCACTGTACTTTTAGAGTAGACAGTGCCACTGCGGTTCAGATTAGCGGCGCATATAACTTTTTCCAGCACTGTATTGAAGAAGACCCACGAGATAGAATCACCTTGTCTAAAAACTCGTCTGGTATCGAACGGTTTGAGGAGGTCCTTTCCGACTTTGATGGAGCTGATGTTTGTACTCAAAGACGTTCTAAATAACCGTATGAGTTTGGTAGGGAGACCGAATTTAGACATTGCATCATATGTGCAAAATACATATACAAGAGTATGCAAAACTTGAAAAGTCAGTAGAGAGAGAGAGAGAGAGCGATGATTCGTGGTTCTACCAGAGCCCATGAATATCTACAGATTGTTGGGTTCTATGTAACCGGAATGAACCTAGACTTACTGCAGGCAGACAGGTAGGGTCATTTGAATATATAGTTATCAGGTTAGCCCCTTACGGCAAACTTTTTCCAGAAATATACTTGTAACATTGAAGGCTGTAACACTTTAGTTTAACTACACCACAACTGGTCTATATGAAACTACTTTAAGCGAGAGCACACTAAAATAATGCATAACAACTTTATTCACTGTGCTTAAACTTCCTCGTTTAATTTTCACTTAAATTCTTTTGACAAAGGAGATTTCAAATCTCCTACAGTAATACAAATGTATTAAATTTCCATTTATTTTTAATCCTTACAAGCATTTAGTTGAGCTTTTCATGAGATTTTATATTTTTGCTTTTTAATTTATAACAAAGATTTAATCTGGATAAGCTTGCTTTTATGGTGAGTTGTTGAATTGCATGAATGAAGAGAAATATCAAAGTCTTATCTCATATGACATATGTGCGTGTATAGAAGTATGGTATACATATTATATATACAATATATATTTATTTTATTTAAATATTAAAGCATGAAGAATATGAAAACTGTTAGCACAAATTTTACAAATTGTATCTATATACATACATATATACTTATTTATTTACAAATACATATTATTTATCTGTTTCTCTCATGGTATTTATTTTAATGCGGAAAGATCCCTTCCTAGTAATTTTTAGCTCTTTCCATAGCTTCTGCATATTCTGATCGCCAAGTATAATTCTCTTACCGCACACTCTTTCTCTAAACAATCATGCTCGCACACTTGTTACTCTCAATAAGACAAATTAATTTTTATATAAAAATGAATAAAAAAATAATTACCATTTCAAAAAAGTTTTTATTATAGCCGTGGCGTTTCTCTCTCCGTTATGTGCTGCAAAATAATTCGAAATTCATTTTGTGGCAAGCAATTGAAAAGCGTGTATTCGAAATTTCCCGAACTGACAAGAGGAAGCAGCATTTTGTATACATGTTTTCGAATACGCTTCTCAGTAAAGACAACATTTGTAAATGTTTTCCATTTAGTTTGTTTCGAAATGCCATTTTTGAATGCTTTTTGTAGCAGAAGAGAGCGAGCGAAAAGAGCAGGTAGGGGAACATATTTTACTCTCTACAACTTATCACTTAGTAGAGTTGATTTTATATTTATTTATTTTATAATTTTTATTAGCAAGAATTTCCTTTCACACAATTAAAATACGAGTTTTCAATCAATTCGAGTTCTTCACAATTTTTTCATCAATCAAAGCGAGAGAATTAGAAAGAAATGTATCACTTTCAGAATAATTCACATATAAAAACGCTCTCATTAGCAATATTCCGCTCTTTAATAGTTCTTGATTAGAACATTGTTGCCAGCTTTGCATTTCACAATAGAGTCTTTTCTACAATAGCAACTTAGTAAGCATTCTTAAAAATTTCATTTTATCCAAGTTTTCAACCACCTGACAACTTTTTCAAATTAAGAAACGGCTGTTTGTCACTGAAATTAAATTTTGATCAAATGTAGAAGAAATAATGGTAGAAAACGCTGTGAAATTTTTCTAGGTTCGACTAATGAATGAAAGTTTTCTTCTTTCGAATGTTGAGTATCTTTTGAAATATAGGCGATTTCCAGTGTGCGTGGAATATGATCAGGTACTAGAATTTTAGATAAATCCAGAAAATCGTATAGATAACCTAGTAAACTAAATTGAGCTTATAAGGTCACCCTTTGAAAGAAGACTAGAGTCTAATAGAATTTCACAAAAAACGAAATTTTATTTTCTGAGATTGTAACGTCAAGAGGACCATCAATTATGGTAAATAACCGGGAACAAAAGTTATGAGCCCTGATGTTCGATTTTTAAATATAGAATATGCGCGATTTTTAAGCATTCGTTTGGCTCTTTAAGAGTAATATGTCAGACATGCAGAGTAATCGTAAAACTCCATCCTCATGTATCTGATATAAGTAAGCAATGAAAAGTTTGGACTGATCTATGGGACGCTACTATAAAAATGTATATGGAGAGCGATGTCTCCAATACCATTATGGCTTAAATAATTTGTAATGCCAGAGGAGTTCTTCTAATCGAGATCTCTAAGTAAAAAGTATTTTAAGGAGCTGTTGAATAAGCAAAAAATCCGCTCTGCACCAAAGACATAATTTAAGAATCTCCATTTTTTTATTGTTCCATTTCGGTAATTTTTCTTACCCGCTCACCCTCGCATCACCGATGGAAAGTGGCTGCTATGACAAAAAACCTTGAACTTAGTACCGCAAATCTACTTGTCGTTGTGGTTGTGTCCTTCACAAGTGAATGTCAATGCCGAGTTTGAGCATGTGTAGAATTACTATCGAAAAAACTGTTTTGGACCAGTCGCATGCATTGGCAATAAAAGAAGAGCTTTTGCGGCGCTTTGCCAAAAAATGTGGCAGCCAGCAAGTGAACAAGAAGATTCATAAAACTACGAAAATCGAAAACGAACAAATACTGCAACAGCGCCGCTGATGTATATACTATATGTATGTATTATATATACTGTCTATATCTGCCACAAGGAAAACGGCGTACAACAACAACCACTGCCCCAAACGGCAGACACTGCAATGGCAGATCACAGCCGGCAGCCAAAGTCGATATGCAACAAACATACACTCGAACACTCAAACATCACTTGGCAGCCGTCGAAAACAGTTTTGGCATTAATTTCGAAAATTCGAAATTTCCATTTAGTAGTGCGGCTAATGAACGAGAGAGCAGATCACGCGGTGCAATTGAAGTGCGGTATTTAAGTAACAAGAGAAAATAAACTAAAACAACAAAAAAAAGTAAAACATATAAAAACAAATATTAGTAAAAAATAAAAGCTATTGCGGAGGGTTTTGTTATTGAATTAAATTTATATAGATATATGCTTCGATATTAAACAAAAACTCATAATAATAAAGTTTAAAAAAAAGTGAGAATAGAAATTAAAACAAGTGAATTAATATTACAATATAATAATTATAATTAAATTAAAAATCATTCAGATATCAAAATTACAATTAAAAACACATTACGTAGAAAAATGTACCAATAACAAATGAAAGTCACGAAAAATAAAAACTAATAATAAAAAAGCAATAAATAAATGATTCTAACTATTTTACGTTTTTTCTTTTTTGTATTATTTCTTTATTTTTTGTTTTTCTTTTAAATTTAATTTTTTTATACTAAGCCATAGAAGATATATTTTTTGTTGTTTTTTTGGTTGGAAAAATTATTCCACATTTAGAGCTTCTTTCTTCTTCTTTTTTTTTTAATTTGTAATGTAATGTAAGTCTCCTAAACGAAATCAAAATTTTTTCCAAATATTTTTTAATATTTTTTAGTAATATAATAATGAATAGTAAAACAAAAATTATTAAAAGATTTTAAATAAAGGGTGTTTAGCCATGTAGTTTTCAAAAAAAAAAAAAAAACGTAGAATTTAGCGTTAATGATTTCGGGCAAGTCGCCGCCGCGGCTGGCTCGCATAAATTCCAGCCGAGAAACCCAATTTTCGAACACATTTTGCAGCAATTGGGGCCGTACGAGTATATCAGCAATATAGCGCCGAAAATCCTGTTCTAAGCACCTCGGGTTTATCTGCGTAGGCAAGCGCTTTCACATAACTCCACAAAAAAAGTCCAACGGTAAATCGCACGGTCTTATAGCCCATATCACAGGCCCACTACGCCAGATAATACGCTCACTTAAAGTTTCCTTCAATAAATTGATTGTTTCGTCGGCTGTATGGCATGTACCGCCGTCTTTTTGGAACCAAAAATCGTTGACACCAACGGACAGGAAAAAAGCTCTATAGCGTTCCTCATTGACTGCAACATTATAGCCGGCTTAATTTTTTAAGAAATATGGATCAATAATTCACTCTGCTCAGCAGTGACTTTTTGAGAATGCACCGGCGTCTCAGCAATTGCTTTGTGGTTTTCCTGTGAAAACCATGGTCGGTGGCCATCTCGTTTTGCGCCCATGCACCGAACGTGCAACGCGCTTGGTCGTTCGGCTTCGGTTCTCGCACGATTTGGATTTTGTAAGCCCGCGCACCGAGATTCTTCCGCAAAATCTTTCATAAAATGGATGGGCACAGCTCCAATTGGCTTAATAAACCAACACAAAAAATATATAGCAATTAATATTATTTTACTAAAAAATTTACAAAATAGATGAAATTGTAAAAATATATTAGATAAATGTATGTAGCAACTAAAAACAAGCGAGAACAAAAAAAAACTACAAAAATTTCGCCGTTTTCATGGCGCCAGTACCACACATTCGCCGCAAGTGCAGTGATTGCCTCGACCGTGTGCGATGTGTTGCTAACTAGTGGTTTTTTTATTGTTTGAAACATATATAAAATATACCATTTAGCACAGTGCCTAGTAAAACCACGCGAAAGTTCAGTGTCGCTTGCAATTTGTGTCGTCCTTCAGCATGCGGTTGAAACAAACACGCGGCAACCACCGCGTCGGACATCGGGGGTTGGACAACAATAACGCACGATTTGGCGCTGGCTAGTTACCAGGCTTGCGGTGGTTCTCACACAGCAGTTGCCACGCGCGCATTTAAGTGTACAACCGCAGCTGCAGCCGGAAGAGCCGCTTTCAACACCCCGCCACCGTGCGCTGATTGCGTACCCACACTGGCGCCTCGCGTCGCTTGTTTGTATGCGAATATCGAGATGTGTACGCGTGTATTTGCAACTGCGGCTCCGCGCTTTGAACAATTAAATTCTTGCTCCAAATTGTAATTGCAATTACAAACAAAATTTTCCGTGCATCACTTACTTTTCCGGCTCCAACTGCAATCGCCGCGTATCTGCAATGGTTTTTCAGCTCGTCGTTTGTTCGTTCGCCCAATCTGTCTGTCGTTTGCGCACCACTTTAGCTATAAATTAGCTCTTAAAATGCTCTAGTCCGAAATTTATTGCAGCTTCAGCATCAGCCCCACGCTGCATTTGACTCGCCGTGTGCGCGTCACCGCCGCCGTCTTGTGCGCTCGCTCTGGTTCGCTAGCAAGCGCTGCGCTAGAAAGCATTTATTTCGGGCATTCCAATTTTCTACATTTTCACAGTTTTCCGTCGACTGTCTTGCGCTGCTTCCATCTCACTATCTGTCTATTTTTTCCTCAGTGGCAATTTGTTATTGTCTGCCGCACTCGCATCGCGTGCCTTCCCCGCGCCGCTGATTGAGCTGTTTACAAGTTGCCGCGCGTACCAAGCGCTTCGCACACCCATATATATATACATACATCGCTGTTGCGGCTGCTGTTGTTGCTGTAGTTTGTAGTTGCTGCATTTAACTGTGCGAATTGCTGCTGTTGCTGTTACTCTTGTAGTCGCGTCAGTAAAAGGTAAGGCGTAAATTCCATTCAGACAGTCTTACCTACACCTCTATATATAATATAAACGCGTATTTACCGTTATACACACGTTTATTTTTATTTTTGCTCTGCTACTTTATTGCGCTATACCTCTTTGCTCCTTCGGCTCTCATTTCACAATTGTTTTGTTTATCTTAACTGCAAATAAATATTAATCACTTGCGTAAATGCTCGGCAATTTCATTGATTTCATTGTTAAACAAATTATTTAGGTGAGTTTTAATGAATGAATTGATTGACCATTTCCGATTTAACGACCTACGCTAAAAATTCCGAAAAGCTGTTTGAAAATGTGGCATGAGAAAGAACACGTGTTGCTGTTAATGAAAAGAAACGTAAGTAAATATCGAGTCAACACTTGAAGGAGCCTTGCAAGCACTGAGAAGCAATCTATAGATATCTTTTTCAAAATTCATCACCACGGTTAGCACTCTTATACAACTATCTTACCTTGGTAGTCTGCAATGTGGCCGGTATGGCCTATAGGCGCTGATATTAACGAGAACTGTCCGTGATTCGCAAAACTGTTTAAAGTGGCGAATCGAACATGCATGCTCGGTTGCATATTCAAATAGACTGGCGTATTCAAATAGAAAATAATAGGTATGGGTACCTTAGAGAGCGGCTTTAAATATATTTAAAGACTAGTGGAGGTATGGTACAAGATCTTAGATGTTGTTCGTTTCGAGTTGACTAGGCAATGGCGGTTAGAAAGCTCTCACATTTATTGTTCGCAATTCCACATTAGTTACGCCCAAAATTTCCATGTTTGTTAAGAATGCGTATCTAATATGTTAGTTGAAAAGAAATGTTATTAAAGCTACTCCGATCTATTTAGGTTAGTTGTTAAATAATATCTATAAGCTCTAATCAAGAACAAAGATGTGATATCCGAGCCTTGACCTCGCAAAGCGATGTCAAGAAAGAAAACGATTGAGCAATGACCAATTAATATTCCTACAGATACGAAACTATTAAACTAGCTGAGATTGAAGAGTTTACTAGATATTTTACAATTTTTCTCGAGCTAGATAGATTTTGAGACTACGCAAGTACTAGTAGTTAATCATCACTTACCAAGCTCACGTAAGACTCTGCCATCCAGTAATAAAATGCAAGAAGAAAAGAGAGCTTCAAACTATTTTGTCAACAGTACACGTATTATTCAAGTATGCAAGTTCGTTTGGGATTTATCATTAGAAAAAAGGCTGAAAGCGCTGTGGGACCTATACAGTACAGAAATTGTTGGGGCTTCCCATTCCATTACCATCACTACAGTGAAATCAATTGCTATAGATGACGGTATGTGGACTCTTATAGCACCATTTCTTGCTATCATTTGCGTGGTTCATCAACCGATTTGAAATCTACTTTTTATAATATATTTTATATATAAATATAATAATATTATATGATAGAGCAACTTCCTAACCCACTGTATTATATGGTCAACGATATACACACGTTTTTTGATGTCCAGTTTTCGCCATTTTTTCACCAAAAGAAAATTTAAATGTCATAAATTCTACATAGATTAAAGATAATATTTTAAATGTCCGCAGCGCGCAATGCGGAAGCTTAGCGTGTCTCTACGCCAAAATATAAAAAATGCTGCTTAAAAGAATGGCCGAAAGTCATAATTCTGCAGGAGGATTTAAGCAGATGAAATTTTAAATTCGCAGACACGGAGCTTGTGGCTTTTATACGAGTCGTACACTTGTATATATGACTATACTAGTAAAAAATTAAAGGAAACTAAATTTTATGTTTGCATGCAGATAAATCATTAAGCGATACGAGCAAAGAAAGGAATTTTGAGAATTTAGCAAGTAATAAAAATTATTTAAAATGCATCGTTATAGAATAAAAAAATTGTAATAACTACATTTTTTGGCAAAGAAAATTTATTGAAATAATAAAAATAAAGAATTGCTTGTGCGCTTTTTTACTGTTTTACTCTTTACCCAAGACACACACCACACACAACTTTGCTATCAACAATGCGAGTTTACCTGAAGAGAATTGTATATTACAGCTGCCAGTTTTTCATTTAAAGTTCATTTATGTTTTTTTTTGTTCTTATCTCGCATAAGAATTACCTAATCCACTTTTTGTAAATAATTCACATAAGACGTTTATTATTGCATATTAAACTCGAGTTTAAGGTACAACTGTTTCGTTTAGGCAGTTTAATAGACATAAAGTCGTACTATTTTGACTTTTTATTATCTTGTTGTATAGTATATAGGTAACTACTTACTATTCAATTTTATATTAGTTTTAAGTTAACCCAAAAAAGTGTTATTTAAAGCTAGTGATTGTGTGCTGTTTGTAAGGACTAATGAAACAGCGAGAGTACATAAGATTATAAGTTGCCGCTTAAGTTTTCCTTTTCTTTGCGAATTTTTTTCTATGAGAGATGGCTTTGCTCTTATTTCGTGTTAACAATAATGATGTGGCTAGACATGTTATGGAAACCTCGACTGATTAGAATACTTGACATATATTTTTTCAGAGTAAAACCTGGTGACACTATTCACCAAAATTGCCATAATTTTTGGGAACAGAAAATGCATTTGTGGTCTAGGGAACACCATTGCTTGTGCCGGCGTTTACGTCAACGCCATTATTGACTCATATTTTTTCAACAAAATTAAATCTGCAATAAAATTATGGAACAATGTATGTTGGCTCCTTGCGTTTGCCCGCAAATACAGGAAAAAAGTCTCGGTGATTACTGGTTTCAACATCTCTGTACAACTAATGTGAAAAAAGCTGACATTACTGGCCACTCGGAACTCTAGATTTGAAAGCCCTTGATATCTTTTTGAAAGACCATTTGTATTGCAAAGTGTGTGCAAGCCATTCTCAGTTTATTTGAGCTCTTCATTGTGAAGAAATCATCGCTGTATGTCGCGTAGATACTTGAAAAAGTAATGGAAAATGAAGCAAAAACTTCCAATAAACTGCATACATTTTCATTAAAAAAATTTTCAGAAATAAATTAACTATGTTCGCTATATTACGTAGACAAATATGATGCACCTTGTACATGTTTTTATACCCCGAAAATTTTGATTTGATAAGAAATTTTGACGAAATTTGGAATGGATTATTGTTCAAGGTAACGCTTACCGGAAAAATTTTACAGCTCGGACCATTATAGCGTATAGCTGCCTACAAAGTGAATGATAATATCAAATTCTTGTATGAAAAACTTTTTTATTTGAAAAGATAACTTAGCAAAATTTGGCATGAATTATTGTCCAAGATTGCTATATCATATAGCTGCCATACGAACTAAAAAATTCAAATCAAGTTCTTGTATGGGAATTGCTGCATTTGTGAAGGGTATTCTAGCACAACCGAAGTTCATGACCATATTTGGCAAATTTTTAGCTATTGAACTAACTTTGACTATGCACAGCCTAACTGTTTGCAGTGCAAATCTGTGCATGCCTACGCGCATAATTTCCTTTATGTAAATACATTTTTTCGAAAATTCCGCTTGCATTGCATTGATTTTATACTTTTTCTAAATTAATTAAAATAATTGTCCAAAATTGTAATAAATCAGAAATGCCATCATTAAATGCATCATATGTCGAGAATGACAAAAATTACAAAATTTTGCGAAATTCTCGCGCATGTCACACAAATATTTGCCATATGCATGTGTGAGCGTGTGTTTGTATGCCAAGCAATGTGATTATTTTACATAAATAAACCGAATGAAATTCATTGATACAAATGGCTACATTATACTACTTTATTTATTTGCTTAACGCGGCATACTTGGCCTTTTAAAGCGATATATTTGCGCAGCGAAAGAAAAACGAAAAGCGAAAAATAACAAAAAAATATATTTGCATATTTGCAAAAATGCACATGTCAATAAAAAACTTGAAACTTTGCCAACATTTGCTCGGCAAAACAAGCATTTTCAAGCTTTTCATGCATTTTCGCATATTTGCTGCGCACAAATATTTATACGCTGGTATATCATTTAAAAAAAAAAAATTTTTAATTGACAAAAAAAAATTTAAAAATTAAAAAAAAAATTTTTCACATATGAAATTTCTATGTTTCGCTTATATTTTTTTGTGCGTTTTTGTGATTCGCTTTGGCGCGTCGCAAATATTTTTCTGCGCTATTCACCGATGACGTCGTTACGTCGGGCATTTTTACATAAAGCGAAAAAATTCGAAAAAAAATTCATAAATAGTAATTGAAAATTGTACAACACAAATGCGAGATTTGTATTTCCGCTTGGCTATTCGCTGCGCCATTTTGATGTCCATACAACAAACACTTTTTGTGTAATTATTTTGACGATTTGCAGGTCATTTCGTTTATATAATATATATTTTTTCGTTTTGCTCATGGGTTCTGACAGGTGAGCTTTTAGCTAGTCTATGTCATATATTTTAGTTTTGTTTTTGTGGTGAATCACTTTTGAAATAGTTTTGTGCGAAAATAAATATTAATGTGATTTAGAAAAATTTTAACGACTTTTCATATTACGTTGGAATTTTAAAAATAAAATTTATAAAACATTTTGTCTATTATTTTTATATTTCAATACGGAGTTCAAAAACCACAGGCTCTTATCTAATAGCATATTCTACCTAAAATGGTTAGTCTTCTTCTTGATAGCAGCTGGTTAACAATCTTCTCTTTCACCTAAGCGATTTTGGTCCGTAGTATACTGGAAGACTTAAGGATATCAATTCGTAACACTTCAAGGTTACAAATGGTTTTGTGTCAAAACACTAACTAGTCTTGTTCGATGAAAGCAGACCTACGTCTCAATTGGCTACGCAGCTAAGTGGGTATTCTAGTCTAGAGACATGATTTTAGGTAATTTTTAAGGCATCTTAAATAAAAGGCAATCAATATTTTTATTATCGATATTTTATTTTATGTTATTTATTAATGTTAGAGAAGCACAGAAAAAAATTTTAAAAAAATTTTTATTTATTTAAATAACTGGCGCTGATGAAATGAAGGGTCTCAAAAACCAGGCACATGAACATACCCCAAATATTATCAATATGTTTGATTTTTTTTTAGCAATTCTTTTTTATTTTCTCGTATTTTTTAAATATAGTAAAAATTTAAATTTGGGATGAGGCTGGTTCGTACTCGGCAGAGGACTATAAAGACGACTTTCTGAAAATTTCGAGAAATCGTGGGTATCGTATTGAAAAAGTCTGGTCTGAGAAAAACGTATTTAAAGTTTTGCGCAAAGTTTTTTGCTCGACTAGACCCAGCCGAACCAGTTTGGAGGCTGGGTCAGTAAAATGTCTAAATCTCCAAAAATAGTTTTAATTTTAAAAAAATCCTCTCGTAGACATATTCTTAAATAGTTAAACTTTGAATATATGAAAAAAATTCGATTTTTTGTTTAGGATACCACCTTAATATTATATTTTGAAATATTTTTCCTGGTTCCAAGATAGACAAAATTTTCTACAACTTCAAAGTTCTCTCCACTTGACATGTGATAATTGTCAGTCTTTGTGCCAATTAAGCCGATGACCTAGTAATAGGTAATACTTCTTTCAGCCCCCATATACCTAACACCGGAAAATATTTTCCCGACCTTGATATTTGAAAATTTCAAGAGTATAAAATGTTCAATTACATCGCTACTAAGCCCTTTTTTTTACTTGTTGCCCTATAAGTACATTCCTTCAGTCGGTAACCCAGAAGTTTGAGTTTAAAATAATTAGGATAATTAAGAAAAATAATTGGGATATACGTG